GATCCTAATTAGAAGATTTTATTGATAAAAGATTAATGAAATCTTTCTTCTCATTAGACATGTGCAAGGCCGAGTTTTAGTCGCTTTAGCAGATGGAACTGTAACGATATTCCGCAGAGGCATAGATGGACAATGGGATTTGTCTCAATACCATGTTATTACACTTGGTAGCCCTCAACACTCTATTAGATGCATGACTGCAGTCAGCGGAAAAACAGTATGGTGTGGCTATAGAAACAAGATTCACGTGATTGATCCTGTTTCGATGACGCTCGAGGTATAAAAATAATACTTAAAATTGAAATAATATTTAAAAAGATGTAGTAGCTTAATATTACAAAAATAAAGATTAAGTTAAATTGATAAAATTAAAATTCCTATTTTACAGTGCACAGTGGACGCACATCCTCGAAGAGAATCTCAAGTGCGGCAGTTAGCGTGGCTAGGTGATGGTGTGTGGGTCAGCATCAGGCTCGATTCGACGTTAAGACTCTATCACGCTCACACCTATCAACATCTCCAAGATGTTGATATAGAGCCTTATGTCAGTAAAATGCTCGGTACAGGAAAACTTGGATTCTCCTTCGTACGCATCACTGCTCTACTTATTTCCTCAAATAGGCTGTGGATTGGTACTGGTAATGGAGTGATCATCTCAGTACCATTATCGGAAAGTAAGTGCAGAAAATAGCACATTCTCTTATTGACATTCGTTAACTCTGTAATATTCGGGTGCTTCAGGTGCGGGTGGTTCAATGGCGGTAGCTAGAGTGCAGACAGGTAACAACAAAAGCGATGCACCAGGAGTCGGCGTTAGGATCTTCGCGTCAGAACGAGGCGTCACACCAGGAAGTTTCGTACCTTATTGCAGCATGGCTCATGCGCAGCTCAGTTTTCACGGACACAGAGATGCTGTAAAGATGTTCGTTGCTGTACCTGGTGAGTTTCGCGATGATCGCTAATATCCATACATGTTGATTATTAATTTTTAGTGAAATTTTTTCTTAAAAGATTAATAACTTTAACAATATAAAATATAAAGGGAAGTAGAAGTCAGCGCGGTAAGGAATATGCAAATATATAATAACTTTAAATCAAATTTCTAGGTCATGGTGGTCAGAGCGCGGTGACGGACGGAACGCAACCTGCGATGCTTGTTCTCAGTGGTGGTGAGGGTTACATCGATTTCAGAGTGGGTAAGTAAATTTTTGTAATGACTGCAAGGTATGTTGTCTTTATAAATGTTAAAAATTATAAATCTAAATAAAAATTCTGAAAAAGCGAACTATTATGAACAATGAGATAAACTTTTATTATTCTTTGTTATATGAATATAAATTTTATTAAAAATTTATGATATAAATTTGAGTTTAATAAGTTATTGCAATTTTAGCAGATGAAGCTGAAGACGAGAGTGATGTGGCAACACACCTAATTGTGTGGCAGATGGTCAGGTATGCCCCCAGAGAGAAGCAAGAAGTGTGCCGATTTCTATATCGATTTAAATGAGCATTTCTCTGTCCTGACAAAATCACTATTAATCGGTGCATCCTTCACTAACAGAACAATTTCGCACTCTTGCACGATAGAACAAAGTTCGACTAACAACATTATTTCTATAATCTTTGTGCATATTAAATACATATGACTGTGGGGTATCTCAAATTTCTACAGATTGCTTTGCATATTTATACATGTGCAAACATCAAAGTTCAAGAACAAGTATATGAAAAAAGAATTTAATATTCTCAAAAGCGATAATATATCATTAATTTTATTCTCTGGGGGTTGGGCTTTCCCATCTATCATGCATTATCTTGTAAAAAACGCGACTTATGCCTGTTTTCTTTTATTTAAGTACACTTGTTACTAATAACATTTACATTTTAATTATCTTCCAGGTGATGGAGAAGAGACGGAGGAAAGCATAGATCGATCAAATACTGCAGTCAGCAATGAAGAACATGGTGAACAGAGTCATCTAATTGTGTGGCAAGTGCAATGTCCCTCACCAATGCCAGTCAACGGCTAGCCTATGGACGGGATGGATGAGCGTGATTTGCTATATGATTTAGCTTACAACGCGGCATTACATGTGTCGTCGATGCATCATCGAATTATGCATTGTGAATCATTGATATTCGAGCGAACAATCCTCGTCACTGCAAACTAATGTATGCTACTTTAGATATATTAATATAACGATTGTAGCAGAGTACATTAATAATTCCCAAAAATAATTATTACGATTTTTCATATTAGCAGAATGATATTATATCGAATCATGAGTTTTTTTGAATCATCATTGATCAGTTATCATGATATTCTTCCACAGCGGAGGCAAATTCATCGTGTATGACATTTCTTGCAAGTATACGGGCAAAATTTTCGGAGGGGGTTTATGAATTTTTTGTCGACGCAACTGGAATCATTAAGTCTGTTCTTTGTCATTACACTGGACTTCACTAAAATTTTTTTGCTTTCGCCAAATTTAAATATATAAATATATGTATATTTTATTTTAAGTAAAACAAGTGTACACTAGTTCAGTTACAAAGAACAGATCTATTTTAACTTCGATACTAAATCATCTCTCGCTTCTCGTTAAGCCGCGCATTCCTTAACTTAAGCCTGCGTACATAGGATCAAATTATTAAATGACATGTGCCGGAAAGTTTTCTCATGACGAGTGTTCATTTTAGAATATCACATATTATGAATGGCGGTGAGATATCGTTATTTCAACTAACCATTGTGATAATGCGACGATTATAACGCGGGACGGGATAAGTTTCGAAGCTGCCGTTGCCACATTGCTACAATAAAACATTTGTTTCGCGTTATGTACCTGTCGCGAGAATATTTTTCAGTCGCCGTTAACACGCAGTATGCAGAGTATGCAGTAAGGTGCGTGTAAACTCAGGCAGATTCTTAGGCGTAATGTAATATTAATTTTTTGTCGGAGAGTATATTATTTTCCAGACTTAAAATCGATTTTATTCGCGTACATCGTGCATAACGATAAAATAATAATAATAGTAATA